GAGTAGTTTGAGGAGAATTGGTGTGAGCACTTCTTTGAAGGTCTGGTAGAATTCTGCACTGAAACCATCTGGCCCAGGTCTTTTTTTGGAGGGGAAACTGTTAATGACTTCTTCAGTTTCCTTGGGGGATATAGGGCTATTCAGTCTTTCTACCTGATCTTGACTTAATGTTGGTAAATGGAATCTATCAAGAAAATTGTCCATTTCATTTAGATTTTCAAATTTTGTGGCATATAGGCTCTTGTAGTATGGCCTAATGATTGTTTGGATTTCCTCAGTGTCTGTTGTTATGTCCCCCTTTTCATTTCTGATTTTGCTGATTTGGATAGATTCTCTCTGCTTTTTAGTTAATTCGGCTAAGGGTTTGTCTATCTTGTTGATTTTTCTCAAAGAACCAGCTTTTTGTTTCATTGATTCTTTGTATAGTATTATTTGTTTCTGATTGATTGATTTCAGCCCTGAGTTTGATTATTTTCAGCTGTCTGCTCCTCTTGGGTGTATCTGCTTCTTTTTTTTCTAGAGTTTTCAGTTGGACCATTAAGTTGCTTGTATGTGATGTTACAAATTTCTTCTTGAAGGCGCTTAGTGCTATGAATTTTCCTCTGAGCACTGCTTTCAATGTGTCCCATAAATTTGGGTATGTTGTACCTTCATTTTCATTGAATTCTAGGAAGTCTTTAATTTCTTTCTTTATTTCTTCCTTGACCCAGCTGTCACTGAGTAGCAAGTTGTTCAGTTTCCATGTGAGTGTCGACTTTTTGTTATTTCCGTTGTTGTTGAGGTCCAGCTTTAGTCCATGGTGGTCAGATAGAATACAAGGGATTATTTCAATCTTCTTGTATCTGTTTAGGCTTGCTTTGTGACCAACTATATGGTCTATTTTGGAGAAGGTTCCATGCGGTGCTGAAAAGAAGGTATACGCTTTTGAGTTTGGGTGAAAAGATCTGTAGACATCTATTAGGTCCATTTGATTTAAGGACTCTGTAAGTGACTTTATTTCCCTATTTGGTTTCTGTCTAGTTAATCTGTCTCTTGGTGAGAGTGGGGTGTTGAAGTCTCCCACTATTAAGGTATTAGGATCAATGTGTGATTTAGCTTTAATAATATTTTATTTACAAATGTAGGTGCTCTTGTATTTGGTGCATAGATGTTCAAAATTGTGATGTCCTCTTGGTGGATTTTTCCTTTGATGAGTATATAGTGGCACTCCTTATCTTTTTTGATTAATTTTGGTTGAAAGTCTATTTTATTAGATAGTAGGATGGCTCCTCCAGCTTGTTTTCAGGAACCATTTGCTTGAAAAACATTTTTCCAGCCCTTTACTCTGAGGTAGTGTTTATCTTTGTTACATAGGTGTGTTTCTTGGATGCAGCAAAATGTTGTATCTTGTTTCACCAACCATTCTGTTAGTCTGTGTCTTTTTATTGGGGAGTTGAGTCCATTGATGTTGATAGATACTAGTGACCAGCAATTGTTACTTTCTTTTGAGGTGGGGTTGGTGGTGTTGCTGAGTTTCATTGCCTGTATTCTTTTGGTTTTTTGTTGTGTATTTATCTATTTCCTCTGTTTCCTTCGATGTAGTTATTTTCTTTGGTTTGGAGTTTCCCTTCTAGTAACTTCTGTAGAGCTGGGTTACTATGTAGATATTGTTTAAATTTGGTTTTGTCATGAAATATTTTGAATTCTCCGTCTATGTTGATTGAAAGTTTTGCTGGGTATAGTAGTCTGGGTTGGCATTTGTAGTCCCTTAAGGACTGCATGATTTCTGTCCAGGCCCTTCTGGCTTTCACAGTTTCTGATGAGAAATCTGGTGTGATTCTGATAGGCCTACCTTCATATGTTACTTGGCCTTTTTCCCTTGCTGCTTTTAAACTTTTTTCTTTGTTCTGCAGATTCAGTGTTTTGACTATGATGTGACGTGAAGAATTTCTTTTCTGGTCTAGTCTATTTGGTGTTCTGTAGGCCTCTTGTATGTTTATGGACATCTCTTTCTTTAAGTTGGGAAAATTTTCTTCTATAATTTTCTTGAAAATATTTTCCAGACCTTGGAGCCTGATGTCTTCTTTTTCATCTACTCCTATTATTCTTAGATTTTGTCTTTTCATGGTGTCCTTGATTTCTTGGATGTTTTGTGTTTGGAACTTTTCTGATTTTATTTTTTCTTTGAGAGACGTGTCAATTTCTGCAGGTGTATCTCCGGCACCTGTGATTCTCTCTTCCATCTCTTGTATTCTGTTGGTGATTACCTTTGTAGTTCCTGATCTTTTTTCTATGTTCTCCAGCACCAGGTTTTTTTCTATTTGTGTGTGTGTGTTTTGTTTTTTTTTTATTGATTCTAATTCTGTTTTCATGTCTTGCATCATTTCCTTCATCTGTGTGAATGTGGATTCCTGCTTTTCAATGATGATTTCTATTTTTTTGTCTGTTTCCTCTCTATATATAGCTAATTGTTCCTCTACTTGTTTGGCTGTATTTGCCTGTATTTCTTTGAGAGCTTTGTTCATCTCCTCTTTGTTTGCCTCAATTTTACAGTCATTTCTCCAAGAGCTTTATTTATTTCCTCTTTGTTCATCTCGATTTCTGTGGCTATTTCTTTGAGGGCTTTGTTCACTTCGTCTTTATGGGCCTCTAATAGCTGGAAAACCAGTTTTAAAGTCGTTTTCTTGTGTATCTAGTGAATTGACGTGTCCATTGATTTGTGGGGTTGCTGGTGAAGGCATATGTCCTGATTTTTGTTGGGTGTGTTCTTATGTCTGCCTCTGGCCATCTGGTTATCTATAACCCTCACTATTTGCTCCTGGAGTTTGTAGTTCAGGATAAGATTGTCTCTTTCTGTTTTCTGGACTGTTTATTCAGGAAGATGAGAGAGGCTCACTGGTTTGGGAGTGTGTGTTGTGGTTTCTGTTTTACCTAAGTAAGGAATGTGACACTGGTGCTATTTGCATGAGTTTTTAGCAGGTGCAGTGTGCATGTGTGGATTCCCTGACTATTGTAGTGGCCTGTAGGCCACTAGTATGCAGCTCTGTCTGGGATCCAGGATTGTTTGCCTGGATTTCACTGGTAGTCCCATAAGGCAGAGGCTTCAGCGTTGGGGTCGCTATCCCAAAAATCCCTACGGTGTCCACACTAGGGGTGTGGGTGTCAGGGATCTCTTGTCTGGTTGCTTGCATAGAGAGGCCTTGAGTCTGGGGCAAACACTCCCTAGAAGGCACACTGACTCCCTTGCAGGACCAGTTGGATTGCACAGGGGTTCCCCTTGCTCTCTGCTCTCCGATTTGATCCTGCTGGGGCAAATGCGATGTAGGCTAACAGTCAGCTCTGTGGCACTGTAGCAGCAGAACTAGGTGTCCACCTGCACTGTGTCCTGCCTCTCTGACCTTCCCCTCTGCCAGGGAAGGCTAATGGTGGCTGGTCCCGAGGTAGCACTGGAAAGAGTTGGGTTGAGTGTCCTCAATCCCAGATCCCAGGCCCAGATCTCTCTGCCAGAAGCTACCCGGTGCTAGCGCATATGTCGGCGGTTCCAGGAGAGTACCAGGTAGGGTTGAGGGTCTTCAGATCCAGAACTCGGGTTTCTCTGTCAGGGGCTGCTGGGTGCGCTAGAGAGGGGGTTTTGTGGCCTGTGGCAGGCCGTGGCAGGCCGCCTCTCTGACCTTCTACTCCACTAGGGCAAGCTTATGGCAGCGCTCTCAGGGGAGCGCCAGGAGGGGTTAGGAATTCTCAGTCCCCGATATTGTGCCAGGGGTTTCTCTGCCAGGGGCCTGCCAGTGCTAGGACTTGCTAGGACTTGGTTCTAGGCCTTATTGCAATGGACCCGGGAGAGTGTCAAGACAAGTTGAATGACCACAGTCCCAGATCCTGAGCTGAAGTTTGTTTGCTAGGAGCAGCCTGCAGCACTGGGGTCCGGGTGCTGTGAAGCTGCTGTGCGCCTCTCTATCCTTCCACGCTGCCACAGCAGGGTTATGGCGGTGTTATCGGGGGAGTGCCCGAAAGGATTGTTTTTTTTCAGCCCCAGATCTCGGGGGTTTTTTGGTGGAAGCTGCAGCTCTCGCTGGGGCTCGGGTACAGACAGTGTGGTCTGTGGTGGGTTCTGTTGGCTGCCTCCTGCCTCCTCCAAAGAGGGAGAAGGGAGTTGGATATGGGGAAGTGCCTAGCGATCACATCCCTGGGTGCCTCCTCCCAGAGGAGTCTGCAGTGACCTTATTCTAGATGGACTCAGTTCATAGTTAGTCTCTTTCTTCGTGGAAGTCTAGATAACTCTGTTCAGGGTTGATCAGCCCCTTCACTCACCAATTTCAGTGTTGCAGGTCCTTTGCCCTTCAGCTAAGGTGCACACTAGCCGCCTCCATCTTCTTCCACCCCCTCAGTTTCTCTCTTAATACTGCTATCACCCAAATCATCGAGACTCTATTGCATTAACAAGCATCACCACACAATCCTGAGCATACATTACTCTACATCCTTCTAATCTAATTTGGCTTTCTGCCTGCATACATCCCAGAGATATATGCACTTTGTGGCCCTGCCCAAGCTCCTCTCTCCTGAAGGCTCTTGCATCTCTGCCTGTGGTTGAATCCCCTACTTCCTCCTCTAACTCCTGCTCCCATGGCTGGCAGGAAGTCCAACCCTGGTCTCTCCCCTGCTCAGCTATTGGCTGGATGATGCTTTATGGGTGTATCAGGGGACAACTGGGGAGCAGTGTTTACACAGCATCGAGACAAGAGGTTCTCAGAACAAGGACTGTAACCACGTATGAGGGATACAGAAATCAGCATTTGAGTTACACAATAACCTTATGTCTACATATATATAAACACATATATCTATATACATGTATCCTATATGTATATATAAAATGCTTATATCTATATACAAATGTATTATATATGCATATAGTATATATACCCATATGTGTGTGTATTTAGGGATCAGGCATTCAGGTTTCAATTCTCTTTATTGTAACTTTCACCACAGCAATTAAAGTATACACTGTTATTATGTAATGTAAATAAGCATAGAGATCAAAATTAGCTGCTATAGTAATTGAACATACCTGTGGTCTTACATAATTTAAGTGTCTGTACACTATCATGACCAGCTAAATCTACTGATTTAGCAAAAGTTCCAAATAAAATACGAATTGTAGTTGTCACTCTTTGGAGACCTTATTTCACTAATACATAGTTGTTTTTGTTTTGTTTTGTTTTCAGTTTGCATTCAAGATTTCTTTGCCAATTCAATACCCCTTGTTCACACAATGAGTGGAAGATGTTAACGTGTTATTGACATAGTAAATGCTTGATTTATCCATGTATAGCATGACTGATACATTTACCAAAAATCAGTGCAATGAAGAGTTAATTTCCCAGGAAAACAAACAATGAGAATATGATTTTGAAATCACAACCCCCCACCTACTACTACCCCACACGCATCAGACTTAGACTAATTCTCCAGTGGGGTCCATGTAGGGTTTTCTGGAACATTTATTCCTTGGTATTCTGGTGGTGCCAATGGTTGAAGTAGCACAGGGAGTGCCATTGCTGTCCTAGCAGGATTTGATGATTGAACTACAACAACCTGTGAAATGAACCCAAACGTCATTGAGTTACCAAGCATACTTAGAGCTTCTCTCTTTACCTTATAACATAATGTCACTTTTGCTATCATTTACACTGTCTCTACTGAGTTGAACCACACATCACCCTGGGGGGGGGGTGTCTCGGGAGCTGCTTGGATCAGGCATTGTACTCCTAGGACACTCATTCTGTGGCAGAGCTTGACCAGAGGAGCTGATATCTGCAGCTGCATCTTAGAGCGTCAGTCTTCCATGTGAATGGCTTACTTGAACAAAGGAGTTATGGAACAATGACAATGATATTCCTTCCAACTAGTTTGTTCCTGCTGATAGCAGCACATCCAGACCTTGTCATGGAGGCCGTGAACAAATTCTGCATATAGGACGGTGGCCCAGAATGGCAGAAGTATCGTAATACTCGGCAATATTCTTTCTTCCCAAACTCAGGTGACATGGGGCAGCAGTAGAATGAAGATGTGCATACATGAGCAACACATGCACCAGAGCACTGCCCTTCCGGGTTAACACAGGAGGTCGGCAGGAACAGCATTGCTCAGTTCTGGGGAGCAGGTGACAGCTTTCACTAGCTTCTTTCTCTGCTTGCAGTGTTGAGGACACACCTGCCATATCGTTCTCATGGTCTACTGCCTGGCCTTTTTTATCTGCCTAAGTCTGTCACTTTTTATATCTACCTGACCTTCTTCCTCCTCGCTATTCAAGAGCATCTTCAAGTAGTCCTCCACTGAAAGTTTCTGATAAACAATGGCCCTGTCACCTCCATGAGCACAGTTTAGGCAGGAGAATGGGGGCTGGAATGGAGGAATGGACTGGGGAAAATGAGGCTGGATTTGATTAAAGCACATTATATGCAGGTATGGCATTCTCAAACAATACAAGAGGTTAGCACATGAAAGAAACCAGCACACAGAGGAAGAGTCTACATCCTTGTACACCTTGTCTTCACCTGAAACACAGCATGCTGGGTAGGGATCTGGGGCAGTGAGTCTTCTGGGCACAAACAGAAGAGGCAGGTGTGCAGGGTCCTAGAGAGGGCGCGACCTTCTGTGGCTGCACACCTTTCACGCTCTTTCCAAAGCTCCCCAGCCCACTTCCTGTCTTAGAAACGCTGTTCTTTTCTTCATACACCGTCTCTGTTTCTAAGGATGGGTCTCTGGTTCAGTCCTTTGCTCTTCAGCACAGGGATCTGGAATTCGGGAACCTCTGAACTCAGAGCTGTGGCTTGGCACTCCTGAAAGTATTTCCCCAACTTTCTCTCCATCTCTGCTCCGCATGGAGGCTGCAGGTATTTTCAGATTGTCTGTCCTATTTTTTTTTCTCTTTTACAAACTGTCATAAGAGTGTCCATGAGCTTCCTTCTGAGACTGTTTCTAAACTCTTTTATTAATAAAATCATGAACCCCGAAGAGAACCTCAGTTTCCCTGGTAATACCCTTTTCAGACTGAGCAGAGGACCCAGCTAAGCTGTTGATGGTCTTGACTTGAGGAAGTTAAAAGAGGCAATAAAGATGTGTCCTTATAAGCTGCTAGATTCCTGCAACTGGTTATGGAGCAAGAGAGACCTACTGACATCCTCCTGAAGGGAGTGCCACTCACCTCACTGGTGTCACAACAGGTTACTTTACATCCAAAGGCCGAGACAGACACAGCAATGCAGAATTCTAGCAAATTTAAAATGAGCATCAAGGAATCTATACCCTAGAAATAGATTCATACCAAGGAATGTGAGGCTGGAGATAACAAGTTTGAAATATGCACACACACACACACACACACACACATACACACACACCAAGATTAACATGTCAAAAAGAAAAAGGAAAAAAAAAAAAAAGCTCTGGCAAGGGGTTTGGAAATCAGCTTTTGATACTGTCCATCCCTTATACAATTTATTGGTCTCCTGAATGTCAATTATTTTCTCACTGTTTTACTAATAAAAAATGATCAGTGACCCCTTGCCCCAAGGCTCCTGTGCTCTGGTGCTAGACATCTCACATGGAGAAAACAATAGTACTATTGCATATGTAAAGAGGTTGTGTTTCTAACCAAGCCCCAGAATGGGGAGATCCTAGTTTGCTATGGGAACAAAGGTTGTTTATTAGGTAATATAAGCAGAATATCTTGGCCTGTGCAGGGACTCTAAGTTATTGTAACATTTTCACAAGTAGAAGCAAGATGATGAGTAATCAAAGTCCAAGAGAATGGGGATGCTTCAGTATTTGCCTTGAAAACAGAGGACAGAATGATGAGCCAAGAAATGTAGACAGAAGGTGGAAACACAAAAGCCAAGAAAATACTTTTCCCTAAATCTCCCAGGGAGGACAACAGCTCTGCCAACATTTTGATTTTATGCAGTGAGACTGGTTTTGATCTTCTGTCACCCTGCAATAAAATACATCTGGATTGTGCACTAACTTGGTAGTGATTGTCCCAGATATGGCATAGCACTGGAGTGTTGAGTACCACGCTCCTTAGTAGTGTTCAGTGCATGTGGGTTTGCCTGTATCTTCACCAAACCACAGACCAAAACAGAGGAACAAAGGGCACATTGTTCTCTATTCTCCCTCCTTGATGGCACCTAGAATTGCTGGGTTTAAATATCCTGTGTTTTTTTTTTTATCTCAGGGATCAGAGATGATCCCTCTGCTGTGAATTAGTCAAATGACCAGGAGCTGGGCACATGAGAGATACTGGTTCATAGGCCCTGGGAATATTTGAATTTGTTGTTGCTATCCTTGCTCCTGCCTCAACAGATCCAGTATCATCTCTATGCAGGTGTTGTGTCAGGCACTAGTGGAGAACATTAAATAGAAGATATGGTAGTCTTAATCTGAGCAATGTGATCATCTAGATAGGTAGGTTGAGATTCTTTGAGGATTAGAGAGTATTGATGTTAGGTCTGCACGCTTCATCTTCTCCCTTATAAACATTCAATCACTCTCTGATGATCCATAGGCAATCTCACATAAGATATAATTTGACTCTTACATAAATAAGTACAGGCTGAGCCTGGAGCCTTACAACTATAATCCCAACATTGAGAGGAGAGGGTGGATTTTTAATCCATGGTCAGCCTGGGCTACATAGGAAGATTCCTATCTCTGGAAATATGAAAGAAACACAGACGCTGAAAACAGCAACAGAAACAAACAAAAGGTAGATTTTCAACATAAGAAGCTGATGCATATGTGTTTATAATCTGCTACTCTAACCTGTAGGAATTTGTTATTTTTCTAGCTCACTTTGGCTTATCCTTGGCAATTCCATGTGGCTTGTTCTGATGGTTCCAGATAGCATGCACTCTATCTGTTCATTCTTACAAAGAGTTCACTCTTTTAAACCTGTTTTGTAAAATGACAAGCTATACATTATATCTTTTTTTCACAAGGATTGGAGACTCCCACCATTAGGCACTTAGGCCCTTTATATCTGAGAACTAACCACATTAGTGGTTTTATTTCTACTTAGTTATAGAGAGAAGAGAAACAATGAGATGTCACCTGATCCCTAAAAATTATTGTCCTACTTCCTTATCATTTCCAAATTCCCAAAGTGATCCTAGAATCAGAGTGTTGATTGTTGCTTTTGCAAGAGCCAATGAGCCCTTCCCACACCAGGGCATCCCATCATCAGAGGAAGTACTCACTGCTACCAAATTAAGACGGGGAGTATGCAAACACACAACCACACTGACGACACTCATAATGCTTGCGGTTATAGCCAGCACAGCACTGATGGTGTTGAAAACTAGACTGACGGTGACCTAGAAAGGAATGAGAGTCAATTAATTCCACAGCATCCTTGGAATAGCCCCTTCAATATTCGAAGTACATCATGACCTTGTTAATGTATTTCTTCCTTTTTTTTTTTTTTTTTTTTTTTTTTTTTTTTTTTTTTTTTTTTTTTTCTTTTTTTTTTTTTTTTTTTTTTTTTTTTTTTTTTTTTTTGCCTTTACTTATAGTCCCTTGCCAACATAAAAACAGTACTGTAATTCCTAAGACTAAATTCTCCAGGTGATTTTCAAGGGCACAAGATGCTCTCCAAATTTCCTGGAATAAATTGTTTCAAAATCCTTGACACATTATCTGGAAAGCCCCGTGTGTCATTTTACACCACACTCTGCTGCAAATGCCTGAATGTTCTCCTGGTGTCCCTCTTGCCTATTTTCCCGTATGGTGTGGATCTGGTCCCACAATTCTCTTCTCATGGTTCACTAAAATAAGCTTTATTGTAAGAAGTAAAACTACTCAGGAAACTGAAAGTTTGCCTCATCTATAACATGAGGTACATTTTAGGGGTCAGTGTTGGTTAAAGATGCTGAGGAGGCAGACAGGAGCCCGAGTTGATGGTGCTACAGAAGTTGATGTTTACCTGTTGCCATTAGTGAAATTCAAATGAATTTTTAGTTAATGAAAAAATTGTTGAATTCTTGGTTATTGCCTTTCATCAGCTTTGTGACAGAGATCTCGCTGTAAATGTCTTTTTTAAATTGTTTATTGCTTTATGTGTATGGATGTTTTGTCTGCATGTATATGTGGCATGTGCACGCCTGGTGCCTGCCTAAGTCAGAAGAGCACTTCAGATCCCATAGAACTGAAGTTATGGATGTCTGTGAGACACCAAGTGGGTGCTTGGGACAAAGTCTGGGTCCTCTGCAACAGCAAGTGAGCTATCCCTCTGTCCTTTGTAAAAAAAAAAAAAAAAAAAAAAAAAATTAAACCTCTTATTTTGGATATATCTATTGAAGCCATTTTAATTTGTAAACCAATATTTTTTTGGCCATTGCAAATATTTGGGTGTCATTATCTTTGAACCTTGAAGCTTCAAGGTTCAACTGTATAAATTCCACTTGACATTTTCCCCCCAGGAATCACTGCACCAGCTCAGAGATTCTTCCAACGACTGCCTTGACACGATATCCAGTCTGATGTGATGAAACCCACTGTGAGCCAGTAGTTCAGCTACACTTTTGAAAATCAGGTCCTCTAAAACTAATAGGCTTGGCTTTAGGAAAAGAGAATGAACCCCTTTTACATCTTAGCAGAATACGTATTTGATGAAGTTATTCTTTTTTGATAGAAAAGTTAAACGAAATACATACCAGTCTCTTTGTAGGTTTTATTGCTGCAGCGATTGACAAGGATCCTGAGATTATGAACTGGTAGCAAGAGGAAATATCCATGTTAAAAATCTTTAAACAGTTAGTATAAATCATAGCGTACTACAGCTTACTTCTAAATCAACTGATTCTATTAAAGGGAGCAATAGTCTAAAAACCTACCTTTCCCTTACCCATAAGAGTGGAGAGTAAAAGTAAAATGAGTCAATGAGACTCTTCAAGGTTTTTTTTTTTTTTTTTTTTTGACAGATTATTTTACTTATTTATTTTGGATTTTTGAGACAAAGTCTTGCTGTGTAATTCTGGTTGGCCAGAAGCTTGCTACTTAAAACAGGCTGGTCTTGTTCTTGAAGTGATTCTCCTGTTCATGCCTCCCAAGAATGGGGATTACAGGTGTGAGCCACCAGTTCTTGCTCAACATGTGAATATTTTTCTATGCTTTTAGTAAAGAGGACTAAGCCATGTCCTTCTTTGGTGTAATTTTACCCACTAGACATCTGTGGCTAGAATACTAATCTTTCTAATAACACTGATAAAGCAGTTTGAAGTCTCTCACTCCAGGGAAAAGTTTATTTTATATTTAGATCATTTTAAATTGAGATAAGATTTCATAGACTTGAAGACAAACTGAGAAATTTTTGAAATTTTATATTATCAGTTTCTTTTGCATATTTTTAAACAAGGTTTAAAAAAAATTATGCAACTGTTATCCTATTAAAATGGTTTAAGAGCAATGTAGACTAAAACTCCCCAATTCTTAGGACAAGATTTTGTCAACATGATCCCAAACTGAAGAAGTTAGTCAAAGAAAAACAGAAATTATCCTGTTGAAAATACATATTGAAAAATGTAAATAAAATAATGGAAAAATTATGATGATGATGAGATTACTGTAGATCATTTGAGTCTACCAGTTTGGGAATGTTCAAAAATTCATTCTAAATTATTGCTGTCAACTTGATTGAATTGACCTCTTAAAACTCTTCAGCTAAATATATGGATGTTGTTATTTGCTTTTTCACATTTTGGTTTAGAAGATTTAAAAGTTAATGGGAGCATCATGAAGAATACATCATTGAAACTAAAATGAAGTTTTAGTTTCAGTTTAGGGGAAACGGGGAAATGATTGTCAATGGATTGCTTCCCATACATGCCTGAGCTACTGAGTTCCATCCTTCGTTATGGATGATGGAAGTGGTTTTCCTAGATAGTATTGAGTAGGAAATCATGATTGAAGCGGAAAGCTGTAGTGAGGAGGTAAGTGAGATTTTGTGTCCTCATTAATTTATTCATATTGAGTAAATTAACATTACCTCGTTTATTTTTTTTTTTATTTATACAATGATGACAAAGAAAAATCTCTCAGAAATTGTCATGATTGGTCACGGTGGAACACTACATACTAAACATTTAGTAATGTGCCCTGATTATAGTGAAATGAAGTTATTATAGTGAAATACTATTACTGGTGTTATTTGTGGGATTATTATTATCATTGTTATTGTTATTTATATTTAGAGTATTATGCAACTTTGAAAAGCATGGGAGCTTGTTCTTCAAATTTTAAAAACCTGTTGTAAAATAAGAAGGGAAATTAAAGTACCAGGTTTGCAAAATAACTAAATTTTCTCATTATCAAATTCATCAATAAATAAAAACCTTGCAACACTTGAATGGGACTCTCAAGTATGAAATAGCCAGATTTGTGCATTTTGTCAGTTCATAATACATTAAGTATAAAATGTTTGGTATTTTATATGTAATAGACACTCTGAACTAAAAAAAAAAAAACTCTCTTAGGTTTTATTATAGAGAAAACTTTTTTAACTTTTAAAAATTCTTATTCATTTTTTATTCATTATTTTATTAAAAAATTGAAACAAAATTTTTCTATAATTTCCTCTTCTCTTAAGCATTTATTGAGATTGGTTAGCTCAGCTTTGTCTCCTCCTCCTTGCTAACAACACCCTTCCTCATTTCATTCATTCTTTTATGAGCTTCAAAGTTAGAGATCCCTTCCCAGCTGGAAAAGTGAATCTCAGTTCTTCAACTTAAGGACAGCAAGACAATTATCCTTGGTTTGAGAATATGCTTGTGAAAGTCTTAGTAGCAGTAAAATAGATATGTCAGCAAGTCAAATTGCTGTCATAAAGATGTGATGACATTCTTGTACCATCAAATAACCATCCCTAGGATGACTAGCCAAGGACTCCTGAAGAAATCAGTTGTGTCAAGGTTTAAGTAACTCTTGGGGGAGTGCAGGACTACATGCTGTCACAATATATCCTAAGTGACATTTTAAATAATCAGTCCACCTCGTTTATATGAATGGTATGTTGATATTGCAACATGAACAAGGAAAAACTGAATAAGGTTTAAGTATGTTGTTCTCAACCTCATAGACTACTTGAAAACTTTGAGAGAAGGTTCTACCCAGGGTTAGTATAGTCTCAACAGGGTGTTATTACCTCCAGTCACATAAGTTGGTATGCTACTCACCATCAGTGGCCCCCAAGCTGGGACCCCTAATATCAATGAAATGGGTGGTATATCACGTAATGATGTGCAGATCAATATGATTCCTATGCTCAGGTTTATGAGAGCAATCATAACTTGTACAGCCTAGACATAAGAAAGTAAAACATTATCCACCACAAAATGATGTCCATGTAAAGTCCTATCAAAGCACTAAGTTACCTCCACATCTATCCTTTAATAGTCAAAGATAAATTTTGAAATACTATTTTGTCAATTGTCTTCATACATATATGGATGGGATGTTCTAACTTGTAAATCATCCCTTGGAAACACACACACAAACACACCACACCACACCATACACACACACACACACACACACACACACACACACACACACAAACACATACAATTGTTGCAGCAATTTCAAAGTTAGAGGGAATTTGTGAAGTTCTTCCCAGAGGTGCATACCCATGATGCATCTCTACCACTGTTGTTAACCCTTGTCACATGCTCACATAAGAAAGACTTGAGAACAAGGAAGACATTATTCCAGCAAGAAACAATTTGAATAAATAAAATTATATGCAGAATGAGAAAAATATGAACAGCATACATGATCTTCTTTGGGTACACATACTCTTTGGGTACACATACTCTTTGAGTACACATACTCTTTGGAGTATGAGGAAGGAGTTTGAGGATGGTGAGCTAAAGAAGGGGAAAATTTGAGTATAATTTCCTCTTTATTAAGGACTCAAAGAAAATGAAAACAACTTATGAAGATGTGTTGGAGGAAATAAGAGGAGTTCATGGGGGAAGGTATAGGGTTATATGGAAAGATTGGAAGAGATACATTTACATATTTATTTTCATATGTGTGTATATACAACAATAATATTTAAAGAAAAAGAAGTCATGAATTTGAAAAAGAGGGGACAGACAAGAGGGTTGGTGGAAGAAAAAGGAGGAGGAAAAACATGTAATCAAATTTAAATAATTTTTTTAAATGAAGAAAGACATCGAAAATGAGTTAGTTCACTATGTTTTCATTAGTGGCAATCATGAAAAAAAGGTCACTCATTCAGAAAGGCAAATGGGATGGACATTGGAATAGGGAAAAACAGGGAACAGGACAGAAGCCTACAACTGAGGGACGCTGAACGACTCTACTCAGCAGTGTATCAAAGCAGATGATGAGACTCATAGCCAAACTTTGGGCAGAGTGCAGGGAATCTTATGACATAAGGGGGATACAGACAGACCTGGAAGGGATAGGTGCTCCACAAGGGGAGCAATAAAACCAAAAAATCTGGGCCCAGGGGTCTTTTCTGAGACTGATACTCCAACTAAAGACTATGCATGGAGATAACCTAGAACCCCTGCACAGATGTAGCCCATGGCAGCTCAGTGTCTATGTGTATTCCTTAGGAATAGGGACTGTCTCTGACATGACCTCAGTGGACTGCTCTTTGATCACCTCCCTCTGGGGGACTGGGGCAGTCTTATCAGGCCACAGAGGAAGACAATGCAGCCAGTCCTGATGACACCTGATAGGCTAGAGTCAGATGGAAGGGGAGGAGGACCTCCCTATCAGCGGACTGGAGGAAGGGCATAGGGGAGGAGGAAGAAGGGAGGGTAGAATTGGGAAGAGATAAAGGAGGGGGCTACAGCTGAGATACAAAGTGAATAAACTGTAATTAATAAAAAAATAAAGACTTCTTTAATGTTTACTGTATATATTTTTAAATACACAAAAGTAAAACATTTTTCTATGACTCTTTAAAAGAGAAAAGACAAAGACAAAAGGTCAGTAATTTAATCCAAAGGAAAAAAATTTAAATGGAACAACAAAATATCACTAAAATTCAAAACAGGAAATCAATGGAAGAAACTTAAAAACCCAAGTTTTATTTTTCTTTACAGATAGATAAAATCTATTACTTGCTAGCCAAGCTAACTGGAAGACAAGTAGTTAATTCTACCAGAAATCATTCAAGCGTTAGCACTGTGGGAAACTCAAGAGAAGAGGCCAACCAATTCAATAACAGAGGAAACAGAGAAATGCCTGAGAAGACCAGGTAGCAAACCTCAGAAAAAGAAGTAGCCAGTGTGAACAGTCTTGAAATTTGAAAAGAATTGATATTGCTTGTTATTATGATTTTTCTTAATTAATATTTGAAAGAATTAATAGAAAACAATGCACCAAGCTCAGATCTCACAGCACTGGAGAGTGTGCTTACCTTCATCTCCCCTTCCATTTCACTGTACATGTGAAACTGCTCTCAATTTAAAATTCTAATTGTGATGTAGAAAAGAAACATGTCTGTCTAAAGAAAAAAAGGTCACTCATTCAGAAAGGCAAATGGGATGGACATTGGAATAGGGAAAAACAGGGAACAGGACAGAAGCCTACAGCTGTCAAAAGACAGCTGCCCAGTGGTTGGAAGCTTGGCCCAGTGAGTATCTTCTGCATTTCATGACCTTTAACCTGCCTAGGATGTTATTCTTTGAGGTTCTTTATTGCTTGGGCATACTCTCCTGCAGACAGAAGTAAATGGAAGATAGAGGATTTCTCATCATCTGAGTAGCAGGTTAAAGAAAGGCATTGGAAATGTGTAGGGACAGTATGGGTTTGTCCACGAGTGGGCAGGTCTGCGGCTGGACCACAGTGCAGCTTGTACAGCTTTTTCTCCGCACCGAGTTAGACATGATCATCTTGGATGATCCACAGCCTAGAACATATCTGACATCTCTAAGTTTTAAAAATAATTAAACTGCAAGTCTGATGTGATAGACTAAAATATCAAACTTCAAATGATAAATTAGAAAAATCAAATGCTAGTGCCCCTGGAATGTTCCATGGTACATGTGTTGATATACCATGAGGCTAGTGGGACAGAGCATGGGAGGGTAGCTTCTTTTTATCATTTATTTACAATATCATTCTCCCCCCAGATCCAAAGATGTCTTACCCCGAGGACTTTGGGTTCCCCCTTCATGAACTTCTCTGTGCTCTCCTTCCACAGTTGAGACCTTATAACAGATTTCTTCGAGGGCTGAGTACCTCCAGGGACCACCCCTATAGTCTGTTCTATTCCTTGAATGGTTTCCATGGTAGCAGAAACAGTGCTAAAATATGAATGAAATTTTGGATGAACTAGAATGGCTAGAAATGGCTCAATTCTAGGCTCCGGCTTTATGAAATCATCCTATGTTAAAATAATATTTTTTTTAAATAATCTAGTTTTGATAAGTTACAAAAGTAGTTTAATCCCTTGGAAGAGAAGCTCTTCCATTTATATTTTCTTAGCATTATCTTCAGTGCTCACACTTTTTCTTCATATAGCCACAGATATTTTGGACTTCAGTTTTTAGACCAGGAGAAAGTTGGAGCATTTGTACAAGTTGGCCTCATTTTTGAAAGGTGTTCCCCAACTTCACAATCTGCTCCCACAACAAAGAAACCCACTGTATCTGTTCATTCTCCTCCCACAGTCTCTGGCTTCAGCAGATACAGCTCCCCTCTGCCTGTGAACTACTCCACCTGAAATGCAAGGGAGCATTTGAGAAGTCTGGCACTCCCCTTTCCTGTCCCAGAAGACCAAGGTGCTCTTAAGGGAACCCAAGGTGAATACACTCAAGTGCACAACTTATTCATTTTTTACAAAGAGCCCGTGACATGCCTCTCAGAAATAACTTTAGACTTCGGGGATGTCTTCACGTGTCCTTTAACATTCCTTTCTTAAGAGGAAGAATAAAGAGAGGAATCTAAAAGGTGAGCCTCTCTTTTGTCAAACTGAAAATAAAGACCTCCTCCAAAAGCCTAAGTCTCAACAGGTTGTTGGTAATTAATGGTGATACAAAAATGAAATCTGAGCAGGGAACGGCCTGATCTAAGATCCAGTATTCTGGGGGGTGGAGTTATGGCTCAGTGATTAAGAGCGTTGGTTGCTTTTCCAGAGTGCCCAGGTTCAATTCCTAGTACCTATGTGGCTGCTCACGACCATCTGTAACTAATTCTTGGTATTCTCTTGTCTCTTTGAGTAGCAGGCATGCATGTGGCACACAGCCATACATGCAGAAAAAACACCTGTACACATAAAAGCTCCAATAATCTGGAGTATTCTCCTGGACCTTTCATTGAGGTGTGAATTTCTGGTTATTAACGTTCTCTGGACTACTGTGACTTCGTCTGTGAAAGAGTGCATTGGGCGCATCTGCTTCCAAGCTTCTTTCTGACCTTCACACTGCTAAGAAACCTCCCAGTATCTTCCACTGATAAACATCTGCATCAGCAGCTTCAGCTCCTGGCCTGTGTGTCTCCCAGTAAAGCCAACAATGCATTGGGACCTAGTCCAGGTCACAGTCCATCTCAGGAGCAGACTAAGCCTGTTAGGCTGATGCTCAGCCTCCGTCCTATCCATCTCCACCAAATATGCATGGAGCAGAGATTGTCTTAACTGGTGGATTGTTGAAATAATATGTAGGAGACAGAGTAATACCACAAAAGAGGTTTATTAAGAATGTGTGTGAAATGATCGGTCAATAATTTAAATATTGCTTTCAGGTTTTTGATGCCCTGGGGACAGAGAAAGAATAGAAAGTAAAACAACTTTACACCGTGCTTGGTTGGGGCCTTCTTAAAGCCTTTCTCTTTTCTTTTATATATTATTCTTCATCTTATTTTTGACTATTTCATACTTGAGTGCTGTATTTACATAATTTCCACCTCACTTCCCCCTCCCTCCAACTTTTCTTATGTTCCCCTTTTCTTATACTCCCTTTCATATTCATGATCTCTTTTTCTTTAATTATTATTGTTACATATGTATATGATTACACACACAGCTCTACTTAATGCTGCTCGTGTGTGTGTGTGTGTGTGTGTGTGTGTGTGTGTGTGTGTGTGTGTG